CAAGCAAGAAAAACAACTAGATTTACTATTGACACAGAAGATGATTATTACACACATCAACCAGCATTAATTCAAATCGAATTTATACAAGATAAATCAATAATATTATTAATTGAAATAAATCATCTACCACATTCCTCATCCGTGGTATTTTGGTTGATAAGATCACTGTTAAAAGTGATCTTTAATTCATTGAACGTAATATATTCGTGGGGTGATGCAAAGGATGAATTAAGTAAACTTATTCCTTGTCGACTTCTGTCATCTGAAACACTCCTAGAAATAAATAATATGAATACTCAAAAAATCTTTAAAAATTGGCACGACAGAAAACCTAAACGTCAATGTATTTTGGTGTCATTGGATGCTGTTAATAGATTATGTACATATTCACGTAAATGAACTACAAACTTCAATCATAAATGGTCACTTCAAATGGCTATAGCTTATGCATTCCATGAATATCTCGATAAAAGTCGAACAAAAAGTAGATGGAGTCGAAATCTTGATATGACAAATGTTAATCATCGATCTTTTATGGTGAATCTCAAAGTTAACAGAATCGTTCAAGAGATGATTGGATATGCTGTTAATGATTGTTTAGCAGTCACTAAATTAGTATCAATGTTAAAACTTGATCGGATGAATATATGAGTAAGTCAAATTAGTAACTGATATTGTCTTACTAACATTTTTTTTTAAATCTTATTTAGATCGAAAAAACAAATCAAACTTTCTTGTCGTCTTCCTAGTTGTTTATATACACTTCTGTTATTTTGTTGTCTTTTATTTCTTTCTTTTATGAAACATCTTATTGAAAATATATATAAATTAAAGAGCTTCATAAAATCATTTTTTGTATAATTTAATTGAATAAGGCTTCTATTTCTTGTAGATATCATCTGTCAAATAGTTATCTTCCTCCAATACAATGTCGGTATGGTCTGAACGACAAAAGGCTCCCGATGGTATAGAATACTTAATCTTGAGTTTTCAATGAAGTTGAATTTCTTATTCTTTTTAGATGACTTTACACTACCATTGCAAAGTCTTAATCAAGATCATCCATTATCTATTCAAGTAAACAAGGATGAAATCTTTGGACTAAAATAAGTGTATTCTCTCTTTTTTACAGCAATCATCTTCATTATCGACCAATACTGTAATCACAGCACCAACAACCAGTGAAAACGAATACAGACAATTAAGTCAACAGATTCGAGCAACAGATATGCAAGTTAATTTATTTGATTCTTTCAAGTGTTATGTAAAGGTTTCACGATGTAAGGTAACGGATTATAGAACAGAAAGAAAAGAAACTTGATGATACATCTTTCCTTTATATCATCGAATCTTAGGTTGAAGAACAAGTGCTTGACTCCAATCAGAATGCCAAAACAAATTTTCATCGTGAAGTACAAGAACATCGAGAAGAACAAGAAATAGCATCACAAATACAAGCAAACCAAGCTTTATCAACTATTGTTGAACAAGAAGAAGAAGAAGAAAATTATGCTGTTTTAGATTATTTAGATGATTACAATCCAATGAACACTTTAATTATTATTGATTTACCATGGCCACAAGCATCAGAGTGACCATAGGATGTTAAACTTACTCTATCATGCAGAGATCAATAGCATCATGGTTGTTTTTTCTATGTTTCTGTCTTTTTGTTTTTGCTTTCTTTCATAGCAACGATACTAGCACTATTGTTCGTCACAATGGCTTATCACAAGATGCTCAAGGTCGTTGGTTTGAATTACTGTCACCAACACAAATTTTGACTGGACAACAGCAAAACTTGGAGAATAATAAGAAGCAACAAAAGAAGAAAAAATGCCATGGTAATCGAAAACAACAGCATCAACGACGAAGATTACGTCGTCAACAAATGAAACAAAATAATAATCCTACAAATCATATACAACAAGATATCTTAATTGTGATAGATGATACTGATGATAACCCGGAAGAAGATGGACAAGAACAAGAACAACAGATTCAAGTATAGTAATAATTGTTTCTGAAAATACAAAGGATTCTTTTTCTACTTGTAATTTTCTATTCTATTTAGGAAGGCACAAAAAACAGTCAACATAGACTAGGGTTAGAAAATAAACGTAAACGTCAAGAAATAAATAAAGACGACATACATATCAGTCAATCGTTCAGTGAATTATCAATATCACAAATGAATCCTAAAAAGACTAAGTCAACGATAGAAGATCAGCAATCAGAAAAAGAAGTATTAAATTTAGTTAATGGAGATACTAACGAACAACAACAACAACAACAACAACAACAAGAAGATAATGATTTAATATCAGCCAATTGTGTACAACGATTTAAACCACGTTATTTAAGAGTTTCTGATAAAATTTGAAAACAAATGTTATCGAATGCAGTAGAAGATGGTAATAAAATCATTCAATGTATAAATAGTAATGAAAAACTTCAATTGGTTCGTCAAATGACGGAAGCAGCTAATAACTTATATTATATTGATTTTCAACGTCAATTATGGCAAGCTTATTTCGATCTTGGCATGAAAGAAGGTGTATGGGCACCGCGAGTATCAAAATCTTTTGCCAAACAGCATCATACATGTCGTTCATATGGTTTTCCTAAACATGTAATTGAACAACGACAGAAAACAATAACACAACAATTACAATATACAACGAATGGATTACATTGGTATCTAACAAATTTAGAACAAAATGTACAAAAATGGCAACCATATATTGATCCATCTTTTTTATCTGGCGCTATTAATGAGTGTGTTAAAAATGCTCAACAACGATTAAGACAAGAATTTAATTATAAAAGGAAGATGTTAACATTAAATTCTAATGATCGTCATTTAATTACGAAATTTTATGAATTACAACCAAATGAAGAACAGGTTTGTTATATAGAAATATTAGACATATAAATTTTTATAGTCTTTTGAATTTTAGATACATATAGCAAAACAGATATGGCAAACAACATTCCATATATTGAAAACAAAAGAACAAGAAGAAATTCTTCGTAAAAGAATTTTCCTCCGACGACTACTAACTACATATGATAAAATGATTGACAAATCTTTGGATTATATCGAGCCTATGCTTTCCAATCAAGCTCTTGATAAAGATCGACGTGCTAGTTTAGTATCGAGTTATTCAAAAACAATTACACAATATAAATTTGATTTAATGACTTTAAATCTTGATACGATACAGAACGTAATACGTGGTTATCAAAAAATACTTAATGATCTCCAAAACAAATTATTACAATCATGTCATGAATTAATGATTCAAGCTATCGAAAATCGTCGAAAAGCTATGCAAAATCGTCATGAAACGTATTTGAAACATAAATTGCATACTTTTTTCGACGAAGCTCCGGCGACATTAAACGAATAAAGCAGTTTCGTAGTCGTCGGAGCAGTATATCAATTTACACTACTATAACTGCTTCATTACCATTAATTGAAGTTGATTTAAATTTAACTCCACAGCAAATGTCTATGTTTATTAATGGTCTCAAATATATTATACCATGTCAAAGTCGATTGTCCCGTAAATCTATCGAACAACTTGTTACTGAACAATATCAAAGTATATCAACTACAGATGAACGAACAAAACAAGCATTTCAGGCATTAGAATATCTTTTACATGATTTATATTCGAAACCATTAAGAAAAAAATTAACAATACGTGCACAACGTGAATATAAAGTAGTTAAAAGTATTCAACGTATTCTACATCAACGATCAGATATTGTTATACGTCGTACAGATAAAAGTAAAGTATTTTATATTGGTAAAGCAACTGATTATGGAAGAAAAGCCGAAGAATACATGTTAAAAACTAAAGCTTATCAAGAAATTACGAGTGGTCGTTGTCCTCTTGCATATAATTTACATGCTGTACAAACTTTACTTGATTATCTTGAAACACGACATGTTCTAACTAAACAACAACGTAAATATATATCTCCAAACATGACCAAGTTAGAACTAGGTCATTATCATGGTCTACCTAAACCGCATAAGGTAACTATATTACAATCGAAATGCTATCATTTACATTCTTTTTTTATTTTCTTGTAGCCTGGTACACCATTAAGACCTATTGTTGCATGTATACATGCGCCAGTTACATTGGTCTCGAAGTTTTTGAATGATCTTTTGGCACCCATCTATTTGCAAATTGCTCGTGAAACAACATTTATTAATGGAATCGATGTCATTCGNCTAACAAATTTAGAACAAAATGTACAACAATGGCAACCATATATTGATCCATCTTTTTTATCTGGTGCTATTAATGAGTGTATTAAAAATGCTCAACAACGATTAAGACAAGAGTTTAATTATTAAAGGAAGATGTTAACATTAAATTCTAATGATCGACATTTAATTACGAAATTTTATGAGTTACAACCAAATGAAGAACAGGTTTGTTATATAGAAATATTAGACATATAGACTTTTATATTCTTCTGAATTTTAGATAGATATAGCAAAACAGATATGGCAAACGACATTCGATATATTGAAAACAAAAGAACAAGAAGAAATTCTTCGAAAACGAATTTTTCTCCGACGACTACCAACTACATATGATAAAATGATTGATAAATCTTTGGATTATATCGAGCCTATGCTTTCCAATCAAGTTCTTGATAAAGACCGGCGTGCTTGTTTAGTATCGAATTATTCAAAAACAATTACACAATATAAATTTGATTTAATGACTTTAAATCTTGATACCCTACAGAACGTAATACGTGGTCATCAACAAATACTTAATGATCTACAACAGAAATTATTACAATATTGTCATGAATTAATGATTCAAGCTATAGAAAATCGTCGAAAAGCTACGCACAAACGTCATGAAACATATTTAAAGCATAAGTTATATACTTTTTTCGACGAAGCTCCGGCGACATCAAACGAATAAAGCAGTATCGTAGTCGTCGGAGCAGTATGTCAATTTACACTACCATAACTGCTTCATTACCATTTATTGAAGTTGATTTAAATTTAACTCCACAACAAATGTTTATGTTTATTAATGGTCTCAAGTATATTTTACCATGTCAAAGACGATTTTCTTCTAACACTCTGAAACAACGTGTTAGTGAACAATATCAAAGTATATCAACCACAGTTAAAAATTGTCTAAAGGATCATCGAGTACCAGTAGCCGATTAGCGAGCAACAGAAGCATTCCATGCATTACAATGTATTTTACTTGAATTACAATCAAAACAATTACCGCTAATGCTGGAAACACGTGTCCAGCGTGAACACAAAATCGTACAAAGCATTCAAAGTCTTTTACGTAACCGATCAGATATTGTGATACGTCGTACAGATAAAAGTAAAGTATTCTATATTGGTAATGCAACTGATTTTGCAGGAAAAGCCGAAGAATATATGTTAAAAACAAATGCTTGTCAAGAAGTTCAAAATAGTCGTTGTCCTCTATCAGATATGTTGTATGCTGTATAAACATTACTCTCAAGTCTTGTAGCACAGAAAGCTGTCACCTTCCAACAATATAAGAAAATATCTCCGAATACAAACAAATTAGAACTCGGTCATTATCATGGTCTACCAAAACCACATAAAGTAAATATAATTTGGATGAAACAGATATAATTCATATTCTTTTTCTTTCTGTCTAGCCTGGTACACCGTTACGTCTTATTATTGCGTCGATTCATGCGCCAGCAACATTGGTGTCGAAATTTTTGAATGATCTGTTAGCACCTATATATTTGAATGTTGCTCGTGAAGTGACATTTATTAATGGCATTGATGTAATTAGAAAATTAGAAAAGCACGTTTTGGATGGTCACTTTCAAGCTACAACAAACTTTATCGTAATTGACGTGACTGATCTCTATAGGATGATACCTCGAGAAGGTGCATTACATGCGCTGATGCGGTTGCTCAAAAAGCATTCAGATCATGGAAAAATTGGTACATTATCCATTGATGCTATTATGAGAATGGCTCGTTTAGTATTAGATACGAATTGTTTTGCTTATGACAATAAATATTATAAACAAACTCGTGGTGGTGCTATGGGTTTCACATTTACACAAGCACTGGCTAATATCTATATGCATGAATGGGAGCAAGATTTAATCCAACACCAGGTAGTACACAATGGAATATACGGCAGGTTTGTTAAACATTTACTAAATGAAAAATGTTAACTAAACTGACCTATGTCTTGTCTAGGTACATCGATGATATATTCATGACCACCAACCAGAACAGAGATGCAATTAAAATACAATTCGAAAAAGTTGCCAAAAAAAATATCAATATTAAAATTAATTTTGAAATTGATACATCAGTTAACTTTTTTGATGTTACTATAAACAATGAGGATGGTTGTTTAAAAACATATCTTTATCATAAAACAACGGCTGAACCTTATATACTACCATATACATCCGATCACCCACGACATGTTCATCGCAATATACCTTATGCTGCTTTATTACGTGCTGCTCGAATTTGCTCCGATGTATATGACTTCAATAGAGAACGTATTCGTATCGATATTTCACTATTACTAAACAATTATCCTCCAAATTTTATAAGGAAACAATTCGATCGATTCTTCCAAGTAAATAATGCCATGCCTGTTCTGGATGAATCGAATTCTCAAGTTTATCATCGACTTCATCAACAATTATTGCATTAACCTACACGACGTGAAAAGCAACTTGACACTATGACGCAAGGTCCGATTCGGTCACCCACAGTATTGCAACAGAAGATATGGGAACCAAACATAATGTACCCACGTTATATTTCCGACAGTTCAACATCTACTGATTTTCGGAAACAATTTTACAAATGGTGGCGAATTTACTATGCAAATACCGCATCTTCTTTGTCAAACATTAAAGTTCGACTAATAGCTATGACAGACCAGACACTTGAAACATTCTTAATACATAAAAAACCACCAAAAGCAATTCTGACCCGTATGGAACACGGTTAGACTTCAACTCTACTCAAGTACCAACAACGGCCTACAACATATGCAAAAACATTAATAAACATTTTTTTTCCGTAAAAATAAGACATCATTGTAACTTCTGTTAGAAATTTGCCAAAATAAATGGGAGTTTGCCTTCCGATCTTTTCTATCCCTATATCAGTTGGAAATTTATCGAGATATTCATAGTAACATACTCCCTTGAAATCTCTATTCGACATAAATGTCATTTCCTACATAACAAAAAATCTATTCCATGCAGCCTACAAATTTTGACACATATACACCATTAATAAGCCATACGAACCAATAAAAACCAGCGTCTCCATGTTCAACACATCACACCCCGGAAAGATAAATGATACTTGCACTACTGCTCATAATTGATTGGATTCTCGCCACAGCGATTCCTATGAGCATGAAGCCCAGCACTTGAACACTGTGACAAGCTCCACCATTTCAATCGTCAGAAATCAAACAGGGTCAAATCAACCTATTTCCCCAAAATATTTTAAAACCTACTCCTTCCAATTTGTACCTATCCCCAGCAGCTATAACAATTCCTCCCAAAAACAGAGAGATAAGATAACCACATGTCCAAGAGTCGCAGTGTGTTGTATGATTGCTTTGGATCTATCCAATACAAGATTTATATCAACCTCAATTCGAGTAACTATGATTTCTAGCAAATGTCTCTAATATTCAATATAGCTGGTGCTTGAATATGCTTTACACTGGTAGCATTCCAACTACCTTATTGCAAAATTCGGATGAATATAAAAGTTTGTTAAAAAATTCGAATTTGATACTAATATATTTATAGATCATTAACACACCTGAACAATATACTTGAGTCAAAAGTCCAGCTAATACGAGATATACCTCACATCCACCACACCCTGCTTCGAACAATTGCTCTCCATTAACACACCACTCAGCTAAAATTAACTACACTTCAAACATAAGCGATTCATACTCAGATATCACAAAACATTTGCATTCTGCTCTTGTAGCCACAAATCCTCCACTTTCCTCCGGATAACTTGACTATTAACCTATGATTGACACAACTTCTAATTATAATAACGTACTTCCAATTCACATATATCTGCTGTAGATCATTCAACCACCCATCCAAACAATCGTCGTAAGTACATTGGAATTACCATTATTAGGACACCAATTGATTGGAATAGTTCCCACAATAGTTAAATTTTACCTCAACATGCGATTATTCTTCAAAGCCTTACACTTATAAACGCTGACTATTATAATTTTCTTTTCCGATGAGATTTCATTTAATTCCATGCGGCCTCTTTGCACTCAAAATTTGCCTGACGAGTTCCTTAAACAAGGACGAAATCGGTCGCATCTATCTTTGAATCAAATTTGAGATTTTAATTAACACACCCACACCCTTATAACTCAAATTTTATTTCACAAAGTAATTTAACGACTAATGCATTAATAATAAGTCTATAATTAGAATATAATAAATGTTTCAAACAAACTCATTGTTCGTTTTATTATAAAGGGTAATAGTTTATATTTGAGATAAAATTCTTGATGTTTGATAATATATTTTTTATTTTTAATTATTATTAACTTTTATAAAAAATAATTAAATTATTGTTAAAATAATTTGTGAAATAATAATCGATTAGAATTTATAAATCATTCTATAATATTCGATCTCATGGAGCAACTAGATAGAGACAATCTCTACTGATCAATATGAAATATAAAGAAAGATAATAATAATAAAAGTCTCGAAGTATTAAGAATATAATGGAAACAAATTGAAAAGAATTAGATAGAGAATATTTATTTATAGAATATGTTCAAATATAATAGGCAAGCAAAAAATATTTATGAGAAGGATAAATTCAATTTTAAATTTAGTTTCTATCTTTTGTTTTTTAAAGGATAATCAAAATAGAATGAACAGTCTTGTACATTGAAATCGTTCTAAAATTTGATTTTTGATCAAATTATTGAAAAATATAGAAAAACCAGGACAAAATGCATCAGCATTCAATAGTCGACACGTGTATCAAGGTAAAACAGTATTCTAACTGCAGTTATACAAGATCATATTAACCCTTTGGTTATCAACCAAAGGGTTAAAAATGTGTGAAACACAGTGCCTGCATTGTGTGTTACTTATCTCGAAACTATTAACTTTCTTTTAAGCATATATTTGTCATTAGTCATCAAAAAAATAAATTCATACGCTGTATAAACGATACGATAATAATTTTTATCAATGGCATCGAGTCTATATTGACATACTTTTGCCCTGCATAGCAAAACAGTACAAAACAAATAATTATTTTTGATTTGTAATCAACATAAATTTAACAATTAGGATATGAATGAGATAAAATTTTCTCATTTTTGTTATCAACATGTTTCATATATTAAATATAGAACTAAATTCTTCATCTAATAAAAATAAAATGTAAAGATGTTCATTATTTAATCATATATTCATTATCTATATTTCTAAATGACAAATCGTCGAATATAAAGAAATCAATATGTCTTTATTAAGGGGGCCCCCCCCCCCCCCAAAAAATCCATTTTTTGGTAAAGTAATCAAAATCGAAGTTTTTACATAAGAAGATGCAGAAAAATTTCCTCTTTAAGACTA